CCCTAGTCACGACCATTCCAACTGCAGCCACCCGTACCTGTGATCCCTTGAGCTGAAAGCTATGTTTTGCGGAGGGCATAGACGTATATGGTGCTGGTACTGCTGATGACTTTTGATTACTTCATGTGAGGTCCTATAAGTCTCATAAGTGTTCAACTGCCCTACATTTTAGTGTGATGTGGGGCTTTAGGGGGCGCGCAAAACTTGGTTAGGCACTTGAAACCTAAATACTCTACTTTGTTATTGCGTCTAATTGCATATAATGTTCGAGCACGAGACGGTCAACTCCTATTGCCAGTGGAGAGCTAGACATATCATAACTTTGAGCTGTATGGTGGTCTCGCCGAAAATAATTGTAATTACGGGGAATTTTCCACATTTGAAAAATGTTGGGGCAAGCATTAGATGCCATGACACAAGCCCAGTTATAATTATTGGTACGCTTGTAAGTGGAATAAACTACTCTAAGTAGCCCAAGTTCTGTTTCGTCAACATGATTCCCTATACGTCATTGTTTGACTTCGCCATCGTACCTTGCACAAACAAATGATGGCTCACATGCGTCAATAAACAGCAGATACAAACCACTAGACAGTTATATTTTTCTTGGCCTTCACTGCCACATGGCCAATGAAATGACATAATTTAAATGACATTATGGCATCATGATTGCCTGGGTGAATTAGAATAGTCTTCTGTGCTGAATTCCAAAATAGCTTTCAGTTCACAATTTTATACAAGTGTGGGATATTCTCTAAAGCCCAGTGCAGTGATTCAACTCCCTGCCAAAATCCCCATACATTTCACGCCCGCGTATTTGCACATGCCTGCAGTTCTTGGGCAGCGGGACAGTGCTTAACACTGTCCCGCGGACAGTGTTAACAGACAGACAGACAACGGACACGGGTCTAGGGGTATATGCGAACAGGACAATGTTGACGCTGTCCTGGTCGCATCAATTCACACCTACAGCAGGAGAAGCACAAGTCCCCCATATGACTCATATGAACCCACAGTCATTTAATGCAAATTATTAGTGATGGCCTACCATAGCAACAACTGGGCTCGTCCGGGATTTGAACCCGGGACCTCTCGCACCCTAAGCGAGATCATACCCCTAGACCAACGAGCCGGCAAGCGTGCGCGCAAGCGCTCGAATTTTGGCTCGCGCCGTTACTTTCACTTCGTACTTGGTGCGGCTCCGCCCACACTGGCCACAAACCCTTGCTCCGCTTCGCCCTGTCTGGCCCTGGTGTCCGGTCCCGTCAAAGACGGAATAGGGCTGGCCGTCCTGTCCGGGCTGGCAACCCTCTTCACACCTGGCCCTGCCGTTTTGTTTGTCATTCTGTCTCTTCACTCCCAATGGGCTCTCCATTTTCATTTTTCCAAGCGTCCTCCGCCACTTGGGTCAGAGGTCAGGGATGTAAATACGAAGAATGGAAGCAAGAAGAAGAGAATAAAACACGGGCCAGACAAAAGAGCACAGTACAGAATAAGGCCTGATCCTTCTTCTCCGGCCTGCCATGCCCTCCTGTCCCTCCCTGTCTTGTGTTGTGCAAGTTAGGATCGGAACGGTATCAAAAGATAGGCGGGCGGAACAAGAAGCGCTTTGCCTCGTTCTACCATGTCATATTTATCTGGTCCTACGCCCTGTCTTTCCCCCTAGACCGTGTCCAACCCAATAGTCCACGTATCACATCGAGTCGTTTGAGATGTGAAGATGAGATAATCTTTTATGCCACAAGTACTTTTCCATCCTGCTGCACTGTTAGGTTTCTATGCCGAATCCCAACCTCTGCCCTGCCCTGTTCTTCGTCCTGCGCCGTCCCCACGCTGTTTTCCTTTTTTCATCCTGTGTTCTGCCCCTTCTTCCATTCTACCCAGCCACCGCCCATTTCCTCTCAGGTGTCCTACTTACTGCGCTGCCTGCTGCCCATCCTGTAACGGCTCTTCCTCTGTACTGCCGCCTTGTTCTCAAGCAGGACAGAGGCCAGGTTCGCGCCCTAGGTGAGAATTGCACCCCGATATCAACGAGCCGATCAATATATTACGTAACGTGCCAGTTGTTAACCGCACCTATGCTTTCACGTGATGAGTCGACAGCTCCGGGCCCACTGGTCATAATCCGCCATCGTCTCACAAGGCTGTCCCGTAAAGCGCTGGCTGCAGACCACCGTGAGGGAGCAGAACCTTAGTATCCGAGTTTGGCCGTGATCATCGAGGTTGCATTGACGTGCAAACTTCGAATTATTTCTCGCGATGCGTATGTAGGAGCCGTTAGGTTCAGAAGGGCTGGGCCAGCAAAAGGGCGAAACAACAGAACAAGGCACGGTCATATCCCCCTGAGCGAGAAAGGCGGAACAAGAGAGGATACAGGACAGAAGGAATCCTGTTTTCATCTGTTCTCTGTCCTTCAGCCTCCTTCGTCGCTTTTTCTTTGTCTTCACATTCTGTCCTCAGTCCTTGGCCTTTTCCCCTAGTCATTTGACTCTTGTCCTCGTTCACGTCTGCCGTGCTCACTCTTTCCGCTCTGTCCTGTGCGTGTTCCTTCTCGA